GCACACATACGGAGGTGGCGCTGGAAATTCTGCATTACAGTTTCTATCCTAGCAATTTGGTCTATCCTCTTGTGCTTTCAGCATTTGGTGTCCATTCCAAAGCTATTTTGGGTGCAGCTGTTGCTGTTAGCACATGCTGCTGGCTGCCATCTGTCTCTCCTTTTCGCTTCAGTCACGTCCAGCTCCAACACTCTCCTTCCCCGGGATCAGCTCTCATTGTCATCTTTAAGGGGGACACTTAAGTATTCAGCTCACTGCGAAGCATGCCCTTCAAACAAGGAGATTCTCCCAAATAAGCAATCCTAAACTAACTAAACTATCGGAAAAACAGTGAGCATAATTCAAAGCTATATATTTCGGCCATCGTTCACGATCTTTTATTTTCCAGAGATGTGTTCTGTTCTTTCCATTCTTGCACTGTCGCAGTGCTGCCAACAAAATCTAGTCTCTTTAAAATATCTGATATGCAATGGTACCTCGGTTTAAGAACAGTTTTGCTTATGAACGGTTCGTTTTACGAACTCTGCAAAACCCAAAGTAGTGTCCCGGTTTGTGAACTTTACCTTGGTCTAAGAACGGAATCCGAATGGTGGAAGTGGGCCTCGTTTTAAGAACGGGCTTCAGGAACGGATTAAGTTCATAAACCGAGGTACCACTGTATTAGTTGCCCTGCAATGCATTGTACAGTGGTACCTCGAGTTACAGGCGCTTCAGGTTACAGATGCTTCAGGTTACAGACTCCGTTAATCTTGGGTTAAGAACTTTGCTTCAGGATGAGAACAGAAATTGTGTGGCGGCGGCGTGGCGGCAGCAGGAGGCCCCATTAGCTAAAGTGGTACCTCAGGTTAAGAACGGACCTCCAGAACGAATTAAGTACTTAACCCGAGGTACCACTGTATAGTCCTGGGTTTCCAATGCAGTGCGCACAAATGCCAGGGCATCTGCTAAAGGGCTGCCCTGGAGCTCATCAGGCTATTTCTCCCCTCTGAACCAAATTAGCAAAAACAACAACAAAACAAAAAAAACCCCACCCACCCCATTAAAATGGCCCCCCAGCGCAGTTCCTCCAGTCACTTGTAGGTCCTTGCTAGACCCTCTGTTGCACATGTCTGCTTCCATCTGATTAGATGGCAGCAGGCTTTTGGATTGGTTGGGAAGAAAGATGGGAGGTGGTTAAGCTGTGTTAGTATAGGAAGCGCAGCAGAGTGGGAGGAAGGGGGTTGAAAAGAGAACTCATGGAAGGGGAGGCCGGAAAGGTAGAAGAAGCCAGAACTATGGGAGGAGGGCAAAAAATAGGGCTAGTGTTGGGCTAAAAGGAAAGCACAGAAGGGGGAATAGGAAAGGGAGAAGCCAGAGCCAGAGCAGAACTGGGTGCCCTTCATTTTCTTGGGCAACGTTTGCATTCTTTGAAATGGAATTACAGTTTGCGGTAGAAAAATATGGGATTAAAAGAGTGTTTTGCGCTCAGTTCCCCACATCCACCTTATACTCAAGTTACTGAGCAAGTTACTTGTTCTTTTTCATTAAGCCATGATCCCATGGTGGCCATTTGGTGGTGGTGTCCACAATAGGTGCCCCCCCCCAAATTTCTAAGAAAGTTGGTGAGCCCCAATATAGTCCATACGAAATATGCTGCAGAAAATATGGACTATCCCGTCATGCCAGTGGGCTTTCCCCCACTTTGGCTGCACACGTTAACAAAATGGGCAAGGAGGTTAAAGTTCTTAGGACGGCATTCATTCAGCCTTTAGGCAGGTTACATTGCCCTTGGAATCCATGGGCTATAGAAATATAAATGTCTTCTGGTATGCTTTGGGTAGGGACGCGGGTGGCGCTGTGGGTTAAACCACAGAGCCTAGGACTTGCCGATCAGAAGGTCGGCAGTTCGAATCCCTGCAACGGGGTGAGCTCCCGTTGCTCAGTCCCTGCTCCTGCCAACCTAGCAGTTCGAAAGCACATCAAAGTGCAAGTAGATAAATAGGTACCGCTCCGGCAGGAAGGTAAACGGCGTTTCCATGCGCTGCTCTGGTTTGCCAGAAGCGGCTTAGTCCTGCTGGCCACATGACCCGGAAGCTGTACGCCGGCTCCCTTGGCCACTAAAGCGAGATGAGCGCCACAACCCCAGAGTCATCTGCGACTGGACCTAATGGTCAGGGGTCCCTTTACCTTTACCTTTTTATGCTTTGGGTACAATTAACTGAGAACAATGGCTGCCCACCCTCCATTTCAATCAACTAATTTGTGAGGTAGAAGAGGTAGAATCAAATGCCCTTGGATCCTAATTTCATTTGTCAGTTTAGCAATGTGTCTCGCTTGTTAATTGTTGTACCTCTTGTCATTTCCCATCTCCTTTAAAAGCCAAGACAGCATTTCTTTCTCCTAACAATACCTACTTACATCTCTGCAAATGCTCCGAGATCAGCACCTTGGTTGAGAAACACAAGGCAGGTGCTTCAGAAATAGTGTCATTATGACTGTAACTGCAAAATGCTAATCACTAAGCCACAAGTACAGTTTGTTAGCCACATAATTTGCTGATTAAAGATGGAAGAGCAAAACTGACAAACAACCTCGGATGCATTCTTCCCGTCAACAGGAAGTCACTAATATCTATGCTGCTGCCAAAAGATCAGAGTGTCCTTTAAATATATATATTTGAGCTCTTTTCAAGTGAGTCACTCAGTGATGTCATTTCAGCAAAGTACTCTCAGAAAGAGAAACAAAGAGTCCTCGTGTGAGAAGCCAGAGGCAGACCATACAGGTATGGCATATATACACCTGTCTCTAACAGGTGAGAGGCCTCCCTTAGGTGACCAGCCTCCAAGGGCCAAACAAGACACAAAGGACGATGCCTTTGTCCCTGCCCTGTTGACAAAGCCAGTGGTGGCATCTGATATTTAGACTCAAAAAGTGTGCCCTCCTCTGCCATTATATTCGGGTACTTCTACTTCTCATGCCAGCCCAGCTTATATCTTGCTTTGGACAAGTGTATCACTGAGGAGAAAAGTACCCAAAGCAATAGAGTGTGGCAAGGTAAGGCACAAGAGGGGGCAGGTTTGTTGCTTTATTTATTTAACAACTGACTACCTTGTCTTTGGTGTGTCTGTGGTTAAACCACAGAGCCTAGGACTTGCCGATCAGAAGGCCAGCAGTTTGAATCCCCGCGACGGGGTGAGCTCCCATTGCTCGGTCCCTGCTCCTGCCCACCTAGCAGTTCAAAAGCACGTCAAAGTGCAAGTAGATAAATAGGTACCACTCTGGCGGGAAGGTAAACGGCGTTTCCGTGCACTGCTCTGGTTCGCCAGAAGCGGCTTAGTCATGCTGGCCACATGACCCGGAAGCTGTACGCCGGCTCCCTTGGCCAATAAAGCGAGATGAGCGCCACAACCCCAGAGTCAGCCACAACTGGACCTAATGGTCAGGGGTCCCTTTACCTTTACCTTGTCTTTCAGGGCATGCTTCCAGGATAGATCTCCCCTCACCCAGGCACAAAACGTGCTGCTAAAAAACAGAGGTCTGCTCACTCTGTACATAAATGGGACAAACATGGGAACAAACAAATGCAACTGCCGTCCCCCACCACTGTGTTCCATTCGGCCCTTGTCTGTAGGCAATGAATGAACACAGGCATGAGAATGAAGAAGTCAGCCATGACCCCTTCCATCATGTCAAGTTTGGCTCACCAATGATAAAACAGGGATTATCATATTTACAGGACTGCCTCTCCTGGTCTGCCCCGCAGAGGACCTTAAGGTCCATGAATAATCATAGTTTAGAGGTCCCGGGCCCTAAGGAAGTCAGACTATCCTCCACCAGGGCCAGGGCCTTTTCAGTGATGGCTCCGACCTGGTGGAACGCTCTGTCCCATGAGACCAGAGCCCTGCAGGTTTTAACTTCCTTCCGCAGGGCCTGTAAGACAGAGCTATTCCGCCCGTCTTTCAATTTGAACTTAGCCTGATCTTTTATTCCCCTTCCTTCCCTCCCCCTCCCCTTCTTATGAAGATCACCCGCTCTGGGATCCCACAGCTAATTCTCCCCTGGTCTCCTTGCTGGCCCAAGTGGGACTAATTTAGCCAGCTAGCCCTGGTGATCATCTAATGTTTATTGGATGGATTTCCCTCCTAAATTGACTTTTGAATTCTGAATTTATTATTCACATTTTATACTGTATTTTATGCTGTTTTTGTTGCATCAATTAAGTGTTTTAAATTTGTTGTTAGCCGCCCTGAGCCTGGTATTCTGAACCGGGAAGGGCAGGGTATAAATAAAAAATTATTGTTATTTATTATGATTATATATGGTGCTTGAAGCCAGAGCTCTGGTACTTAAGACACCAACTCCCAAGCCAAAGACAGAGAGAATGAGACTCTTGCGACAAGCCTTGGGGACTTCTGGCTACACCAAGCCCTTGCTTCTTAGCTCTCCCCATTCCCTTCAGCGCTTCTCAAGGGGGACAGACCCCCCCTCCTCTGCAGAAAAAGTATGGTTTTATCATAAACTGGTTTCCAAGAGACTCTTATTAAAACTTTTTATGTTAAACTGAGTGGGGGTGCTATGACAAAACAGTGGAAATCTCAGAACAAAGCACAGGTTTCGGTTTATTACTTGCAAGCGCCAAGGGCTGAAATAAAAATCAAAACAAAACTAGGCAGCTCACACGAGTAGTCGGAGTCACTTTAAACCGCCCATAGAAGATACCGTGCTATTGGGATGAACACTTTTAAATTCCAGGATTCTTCAGCAGCTTCAGGAGCAAACGGTTGTGTCGGCGCTGGATAATGTAAGAGAAACTTCGTGGATTCAGATAAATACGAACACTTTGGAATTGTTGAGCTGCCCAACATTAACCGACAGTGTCATTGCTATGTGGTCTTCACTGGAACACTCCTCCAGTGCGGTCTGTTCAAACAGGAAGATTATAGTACTCTGCAATGGAATGCAGTTTCTCATGGAAATTTAGCTTCGAAAGCTACATTGCGTGTTCTACTCATATAGCTTACCAAGCTTAGTAGCTCCCTCTGGTGGATAGTCAGGAAATTGACCCTCCGAAGGAACACTCACGGTGCGCCGCAGGCAACGCCCTTTGGAAGGCTCTGATGCCTGATCCTGCCCTCCTTCCACAGCCATCTGCACGTGAAAAAGACACAGGCAGGTTATAAATTTCTTTTTCCCCTCAACATAAATTGCTGGAAGCAATCAAGAACTTTTCCTGCCCAGAATTAATGTCTCGATTCCATAGCACTGGTCGGCAAAACTGAGGGCTATTTAGATGACATCTGGACACATCTGCAATCTAGTTTTTATTTGAAACTGTGCACGGCATAAGGAAGCAAGCATCACAGTTCCACAGACAATGCAGTTTAAAGGTCCGAAGAAATCCTGTATTTCTCTGTTGCAGCAAAAACAGAAAGGGAATTGGGGCAGCATAAAGACTAATACATTTTATCACAGCACAAACTTTTGTGGAGCAAAGTTCACTTTGTCAGATGTGCAATGCATCAAGTTATCGTTTCCAACTGTGTCTCGAAAAACTCTCCCAACTTTCTCCAATGCCCCCACGGTTCCCATGCACTCCCGCTACGAAACTGAATATATTAGAAAATGAAATAGGCAGGTGTAAGCCACTCTGTGGGTAAAAGCATCCCAGTGCCAGGGATGAAATCTGGGACCTTGTCTCTCTGACCAAGGGATAGTCTCTTCTGTGACAGTTATAAATTGCCCCAAGTGTACTTTCTGCTAACAAAGAGCTAGAGTGAAAGTAGAGAAAGACGTTGCAACAGGCATATCGTAATTTTGGGTGGGTGGGAAATGGGGACAGATGCTCAGCCAGGGGCACACAACCACCACCAATATGCTGACATATATGGATTTAGTACATGTTCTCTCACATTAGCTGCAGTTTTCCAGACTGAAATTCACACTTTCAGCTCAGCTTTCTGCCCAGCTTCCCTGATTGTTCTTCAGTTCCTTAGTCATGGAGTCCTACACACATATTTATGTGTCTACGGACTCAGCTGCGGGGGGGGGGGGGAGGATAAAAAAATACAGTATTTTTTGCTCTATAAGACGCACCAGACCACAAGATGCACCTAGATTTTGGAGGAGGAAAACAAGAAACAAAATATTCTGAATCTCAGAAGCCAGAACAGCAAGAGGGATCGCTGGGCAGTGAAAGCAGCAATCCCTCTTGCTGTTCTGGCTTCTGGGATAGCTGCGCAGCCTGCATTTGCTCCATAAGAAGCACACACATTTCCCCTTACTTTTTAGGAGGGAAAATAGAGTCTTATAGAGCAAAAAATACGGTATGTCCACTCTTCCTCCTTTAGGCATTGGAACAAATCATGCAATGCACTAAGAAAGATTTGGACAGCAAATTTCATTGGGCCAAGTATTTGTAAAACCAAGATCTGCAAGGTCATAAACCAGGAGTGGCACGTCTAAATTATGCAGTATCGCTGCTTGCCCATCTTCCTTCTCATCAATCCTCTATTGTCAGCATGCCTTGCTCTTAAGTTTCTGTTTTCAAGAAGGGAGACTTCACCCTCCAAGAAGCTCCAAGCCAGCTGATGGAGCAGTTCTGGTTGCCCAGCGCAGAAATTCCACTTGGCCCTGTCAATTATTCATCCCCTGCAATTGGAGTTTTTGCTGATATTTCCTTTCCAGCTGAACACTCTCATGACCGTGTCTGCAATTACCTTTTAAGATATGGCTAGGACTCAGCATACTATCTCTCTATCCAGACACATCTAGAGATACATATAAAGTTTCTCATATTCGTGTATGTTCTCAATATTTTTGAAAGTTACTGGCTAGATTCCTTTTTCATTTGGAAAGTTTCTTTTTAAGCATTACATGGATGAGGCATCCACCTCTTTATGCCCAGTGTGGGAAACCTTGCTCAGCCCAAGAGAACCTTCAAGGGGCAACCAGCCAGTGGTGGGTGGAGCCTGAGCCAAACATGGGTGCCATAGCTGTCAACTTACAGATTTGAAAATAAGGGACCAGCAGCCTCCAAAATAAGGGATCAGCAGCCAAAATAAGGGATTTTGTGAGCACAGGTATGTTCAACTTCTGAGCCCCTCCGAGCCAAAGGCAGAAAGCCCAGCCAGCAGCCAAACGAAGCCTCAAGTGGTGGTTCCCATAGCACAGCAACCCGGCAAAGGGGATGCAGCAAGGAAAACCACCGTCACCTCTCCGCTGGGAAGCGCTGAGTAAAGGCGAGTCCCCAGGCAACGCGGCCGATTTGATCGGCACAAGGCATGCAAACTCCACCCCCCGTCGCTCTTAGACTCCTTATTGGGTGAGCAACGCAGCCAAGCAACACAGTTGGAGCCTCCCTCCTCCCTGGCTGGCCGGCAGGGAGGGAGGGAGAGGAGCTGCTTCCTTTGAAACCCGGGAAATTTAAGGGACATCATCAATAAGGGACAGCAGCAGCACACAGCGCTGGGATAAGGGACTTTCCCACCAAGTAAGGGACGGTTGACATCTATGACGGGCGTGGCCAGAGGAAAAGTAGGTGGAGCAAAGGATGCAAAACCCTTGCCTTTCCACAGGAGACCACGTTCCAGCAGACAAAAAAGGTCCACACCCACAAACACCCACCTACCCCTGACATTATCACACTGTTTAAGGACATAGCAGAGCCAGGCAAAAGCACTCAAGGAGGGTATGGAGCAGGGCTGGTGGAAGTTGGGGCTTGGCCAGAGCCTGTTTTGCGCTCCCTCCGGAAAATTTAATGCAGAAGTTCGTTGTCCTCTTACATATCTGAATAGTAACTGGATGTCCAGTGAACCCCGTATGGCTTATAGCTTACCAATAACCCCCTCTTACCTATCCCTCTCTAGTGACCTAAGTTTTTAACTGCCAACCTTCTCGAAGCTGCTGAAAGAAGAGTGGTCCGAGTCTTTTGCTGATGGGAGACAAAGAGGGATAACTTGGCTGGAAAGGGGAATAACTTGGCCATAGAACAGCCACACGCGTTTTGAGAAGAGAACTGGCCTTCCTGCTATTCTGATCTACAGGTAAGCTTGCTTTGGCTATATGTGCCAGAAGTACTGTATTTTTTGCTCTATAAGACACACAAGACGCACCTAGTTTTTGGAGGAGGAAAACAAGAAAAAAATATATTCTGAATCTCAGAAGCCAGAACAGCAAGAAGGATCGCTGCGCAGTGAAAGCAGCAATCCCTCTTGCTGTTCTGGCTTCTGGGATAGCTGCGCAGCCTGCATTCGCTCCATAAGACGCACACACATTTCCCCTTACATTTTAGGAGGGAAAAGTGAGTCTTATAGAGCAAAAAATATGGTAATTCCCCAAGTGAGAAATCCTCGGCAAATGGTTTAGATAAAGCATAGAATTGTAGAGTTAAAAGGGACCCCGAGGCTCATCTGGTCCCATCCCCTGAAATGCATGAATATGCAATTGTCCCATAGGGGATTAAACCTGGAACCTTGACATTATCAGCACCATATATCAACTCCTTTTCAGGATTCCCTGGTTCGTAAGTGGTATGCTCTTTCTAGGTGGCCGAAATATTCAGATCTTCCCTTTAGAACTACACTTAGTGCTAGTTTTATTGCCGGTATGCTATAATGTGCTAGAGTGCAGGGATGAGATATGGCAGATGGGAGATTCAAGATCCTGCTCTGGAGCTTCAGGGCAAGTTAGTCTCCAAGCCAATCCTATCTCATAGTGACATGAGTTTAATTCCTGCTCTGAGCTTCTTGTAGAAAGGGCAGAATGCCGACATAACAGACAGACTGATCTATTTTTTTAAATTGATTTTTATTGAAATTTTCAAATATACATTTCCATCACTGAATATCCACCACTATAATTGTACATCCATCAACTTCCCTCCTTCCCCTTCCATGGTTCTTTGAATTTCCCCATAATTTCTGCATATTCTAACAAAAAATCCATTTAATTTAGTCCCCCCGTTATATCTCTTTATTATATGTTATACAGTGGTACCTCAGGTTATGTTACCTTCGGGTAACGTAATTTCGGATTGCGAACGCGGCAAACCTGGAAGTGTATACTTCCAGCTTTTGCCACGCATGCGTGCGCTGAAGTGCTTTGTGTGTGTGCAGAAGTGCTCTAACGCACCGTGCGCGTGCACAGAAGTGGCGCCTCTGGATATGGAATTTTCGGGGTAAGTACGGACCCCCAGGACGAATTAAGTTCATATCCAGAAGGTCCACTCTATTGCTGAATTTACCTTAATCCTGCTAGTGTTTTCACTTGCTTACAATTATTTTCCAAACATTCCACACAAAAAATCCACTCCTCTTTATATATTTGATCTTCTTGCTCTCTTATTCTGTTAGTTAGGCCTGCAGATTCTATCATTTGAAGCTGCCATTCTTCCTTCTTAGGAAGCTCTCTCACCTTCCACTTTTGGGCTAACAAAATCTGAGCTGCTGTAGTCGTGTACATAAATAAAAAACAAACAGACTGATCTAGTGCCAAGCAGAAAATTGAAGAGGAACATACAGTCCCCAGTCTCTAAATATGGTAAGTTAAAGAAAATAATTAGTATTTTTTTCTTAAAGGATTCCAAATGGGAGGGATGTAAAGGGGGGGAGGAGAACAACTTGTAATAACAGTGATGTAATGGACACTATCCAATAGGTTCCAGTCACACCCATTACTCAAATGTGATGTGAGAAATCACTGTCAACAACCATAAACTGTGTGGGTGGGTTCAAAATGTGCATGCTTATGCCAACCCATCACATTTACCTATGCCTGAAAGGTAGACCAAAAAATACTCAGTAGTGGCAAATCAGTGCCTTAACATTTATATGCTACTTCTGAATACTCAAAGTGGTTTACACATTTATCACAGAGCGAGTGGGTCTGAGGGAGAGTTAGCTTGTCTAAGGCAGCCCAGGGAGTCCACAGCTCTTGAGTTTAGACCAGGCTTCCTCATCCTTGGCCCTCCAGATGTTTTGGCCTACAACTCCCATGATCCCTAGCTAGCAGGACCAGTGGTCAGGGATGATGGGAACTGTAGTCCAAAACATCTGGAGGGCCGAGGTTGAGGAAGCCTGGCTTAGACTCAGCCATTGTGCTACGCGAGTTCTGTGGTTATCTTCCAGCATGAGACTGTGTAATTAAAAATTATGAGTCTCTCAACTCACCTGCAGTCCTGTATGGTAATTACTAGATTGACCAACTGACCTAAAAATCCAGACTAAGTTTGGGAGGCGGGGGGGGGGGTGTTGTTGCCTGCATTTTTAGGTGAATTGCCAAGAAAGCAAGGGCAACACAGCATTTTCTTCAGTTGAATACTTTAGGTCAGGGGTGGGGAAGCTTTCTGGCTCCATGGGCCAGATCCTTATCAGGATGTGCCACATTTTACATGTGTGTGGTCTTGCTTGGGAACTGTAGCACAAGGTGGTTGCGGAAGTGATGAGCATATGGCTAGCAAAGCGCTTATTTCCCCTCTCCCCTGAGTGTGTGTTAAAAACAGGCTTATTCTTGGAGCTGAGGATGCATGTTCCTGGCTGGGTTCAACCTTCACTCTTCAGCTGTAAAAAAGGAGTTAAATCCTGCTGCACTGGCAATGCACGCCTGTTCCCAGCAGGGGACAGGCATGCACAACTGAAGTAAGTATACCCTTTCCTCACAAGCATCAGATGGGGAGAAGTGCAGCCTCTGCTTTCAATTGCCTAGACAACATCTGGGGGCTGCTTCCTTTGGTGGTGTGTGCCTATTCTCAGTAGGAAACAGGTGTGCACAGAAAAACTGAGCAGCATTTAACTCCAATCCATCAACTGTCAAGCTGGGAACAGGTACCTGTTGTCGGTAAAGCAAAGGGACATCAGTTGATTGACAGGTAATATGGCTTGGGAGATATGGCCTCCTGGGGCAACTGAGCCCCTGGCTGGCCAAGATTGGCTGCAGGCTAGACGTTTCCTAGCATTGCTGCAAATCAAGGGTGGAAAACCTTTGGTTTTCCAGTTGTTGCTGAACAACTCCTCCCATCAGCCCCAGCTGCCACAGCCAATGGCCAAGGATGATGGGAAATGTAGTTCAGCAACTTCTGGAAAGCCAAGAAACATCTGGAAAGCCAAGAAGATCTGGAAAGCCAAGAAGATCAAACCTCTCCATTCTGAAGGAAATCAGCCCTGATTGCTCACTGGAAGGACAGATCCTGAAGCTGAGGCTCCAATACTTTGGCCACCTCATGAGAAGAAAAGACTCCCTGGAAAAGACCCTGATGTTGGGAAAGATGGAGGGCACAAGGAGAAAGGGACAACAGAGGATGAGATGGTTGGACACTGTTCTCGAAGCGACTAACATGAGTTTGACCAAACTGTGGGAGGCAGTGGAAGACAGAAGTGCCTGGCGTGCTCTGGTCCATGGGGTCACGAAGAGTCAGACACGACTAAACGACAACATGTGGAGGGGCAATGGTTCCTCATCCCTCCATAAAAGCTAGGTCACGGTTTGACTGAGTGTGTCATCTGTATCTGGGCTTGTGACAATTCACAAGCAAGGTTTGCCCTATGGTTTACAAGCAAGGTTTGCCCTATGGTTTACAGTTTGTGGTTTGTCTGGAGAGAGCTAAATCAGGAGCCTGAGTTCAGACGACACACTAAGCCAAACTATGGCCTAGCTCAGCTCAACAGAAAAACAACTGGAGATGGAACTACAGTGGTACCTCGCAAGACGAATGCATCGCAAGACAAAAAACTCGCTAGACGAAAGGGTTTTTTTGTTTTTTGAGCTGCTTCGCAAGACGATTTTCCCTATGGGCTTGCTTCGCAAGACGGAAATGTCTTGCAAGTTTGTTTCCTTTTTCTTAACACCGTTAATACAGTTGCGCCTTGACTTTGAGGAGCAACTCATAGAACGCGGTGTGGTAGCCTTTTTTGAGGTTTTTAAAGACTTTGGTGATTTTTGAAGCTTTTCCAAAACTTTCCCGACACCGTGCTTCGCAAGACGAAAAAAATCGCAAGGCGACAAAACTCGCGGAACGAATTAATTTTGTCTTGCGAGGCACCACTGTAACTGGCCACAATCTCCTCTCTGGAAGTCCACACTTTTGCTTGTTTGCACTAAGTTGTGGTTGGTTGAGCATTACGTGCAAAGTGGGATTTTGTTGTTTTTTGCTGCAATGGATGGAGAAGGCCAATGCTCCTCTGAAAGAATGTAGCACCCAGAAATCATGATGTTAAAATGCTACAAGCACTTGCTGAGATGTAGGTTCTTTAACACCTATGAATAATGCACCCAGTGAAATCGCCATAATACTGTCCTCTCCCTCTCCTTCCTGCACATACAATAGATTTATAATTTAGAGTAGCAGCATTTGAAACCGCTCTGAGCAATCTGTGTCAGTAACACCTCATCACAACTGTAGAATTAGCAAACAGCTGTCACAAAGTATATAGTTAACCTCTACAGATGACCCCAAAGAGAACTACAAACAGATCTGGAAGCACTGCTCCATCTAACAACATGTGAAAACATTCAGCCATCAAGCTCAGCTTCTTTTCATCTGCTGAAATACACTGGAGCCATTCAGCTCGCCTATATTCATAAATATTGATAGACGTGGAAAAATCCATTTTGATACTGCTGCACAGATTTTTCAAATACCCATAAATGCAAGGAAACAGCAATGTGCAGAGGACAATCACTGGACATTAGAGGCAAAACTTACATGAAAGGGAATGTGAATGGAGGCCGTTTTACACAGCTATAAAAAAACATGCACATTGCCTGCAGCTTTGAGCGCAAAAGAGGAGGAACAGAATTCTGGTGGAATGAAAGAATGGATTTAAATAAAAGTTTCTCCGTGTTTAACTGCTTCGTACTACAGTAGGAATCATCATCTCTGCCTGCTCCCATCCATCTCAACTCCGTCTCTGAAAGGCTCGTGCTTCATAATATCAACATGGTTTTGGGGTGATTTCCAACTTACGCTGCTTGGTCACTTGATTTATATCCCACTCTTCTTTCCCCCAAAGGAGCCCAAGGATATGGCACTGGCCGCAACCACCTGTACCCCAGGGAACCCACTTTGCTCAACTTAGCCCCGCCTGATGGACAACTTGATTCCAAGGGCTGGTTGCCATGATCCTACCACCTGTTGGGATGCAGACATCCAGTGAACCCCAGCAGCAAGGAAAATTTATTGCTGGACAAAACTAAAAAACTGGAAGCAGGTGTTTCAAATAGATTTGATAAAATGTACTGTTTTCATTCAATGTCGCATCTCCTTGAATTGCTTAGACATTAAAGGACATACACCTTCCATGTTTTAATACAATACTGTGATTTCCCCCCCTGTATTTGGAACCAGGGTGGAATCTACACGCATATAAAAAAATGATCTGAACATGTTTTTTTTAAAAGCGTTTTTTAAAAATGCATTGCATTTTCCATAAGGCTCACCATCACCATCTAGAGGCACATTATACATTGCACTTTAAACACACTTAAAATGTTTTATTTGCAGCTGTATAATTGAGTCCCAGGTCAAGCGGGTCATTAGTGCTTTAAAAAAAAAAAAAGGAAACCAGACATGACATAAACCTATTCCTTCTGAAGAAAGTTAAAAATGTTTTTCAAGTTGAATATTTTTCTCTGATTCACTTAAGGCAACAACTCTTGTGGTCATTTTTTCTTGGGGTATTTTAAGTGAAAATGTAATGATATTCTTTTTGAAAAGCAGCCATGACCCTGTAAATGAGAGTCATAAAGAAACCTCCACGATCTCTTTCTTTCTTCCTTTTTCTTTTTTTCTGGATTTTGCCAGACTTTCTGTTCTTACTTTGCATCTGTGTCAATGACAATATGATGTAACTCAAAATAGGAAAGTTTTAAAGCCTCTTGCAAATTTTGCCTCGACAATAAATAGATTCTTATTTTGCTGTTTAAACTTCTGACTTTAAAAAAAGAGATTCATTTGTGATAGCTGATCAACTGACAAACCAGTTCTGAAGGCTAGGGTTCCCAGACAACATGGACAGCCATTCAAATATTTCCCATATAATTATACATGATCCTCTAGTTTAAAACTTAGGGCCTTTTAAGTACGACAAACAAAGCTAAGCCACAGCTGAGAATTTCAAAATTATTTTTTGAAGAACATTGTGGTTTCTTGATAAGAATATTCTGTAAAATCAGATAATTTCCTCTAAAAGGGGTTTGTACATGATTACCCATCTACCCCTGCAAACTGAAAAGTCCAGGGAGACACTGGAAACATTTTAGGTACCAACAATTCATGAATGACAGTAGTGAAGTCCAACAGATGTCCACTGTTATGCCAAATGCAGCCGAGAACATGACCCAAAATTATCTTCTGAACACTCAGTGTGCAAAGAATTCTTAAAGCAAACGAAGATGGGAAAGTGCTTAATTAGAGTAGAACACAATACAGGATCAAATGCAGATGGTTCTGTTTAGCGGTTTCTGAGCCCGCTTAAAAAACACACATTTTTACTTATTGAACTGCAATGTTTAGCCCTTACATTTGAGATTTTCTATGAATCAGGGAAACAGGGAGAGAGTGATGTTACAGGGAACTGCAGGTGCAGCCGTCCAAACCATTATGCTAAATACAGACACTGCGGAGAGGCAGAAACCATTTGGACACTTTTCTCCTTCTGCCCAGTCCAAATATCCTTGCACAGCAGTACTGCTTACACAAGGATTCTGTATCCTTGTGTAGCCTGCTGAGAGAGTGATACTGCTGGTGATCAAGGAACTCTACTCAGGAGGTAAGTTTAGAAAGGGCCAGAGTTCAAAAAGTTTGAGCAACCCTGCATTAAGTGCATGAAGTTATAGGAAAAAGGGAAAGTTTCAAAAGCTATTTACAAAGCTTCCTGAAGGCTGCTTATTTCCATTCACGAGAATAAAAGATTTTTCCCACTACACATGCAAGACAAATAGAAGCTATTCAAGTGCCATTGTGGTCCAACACTGCTAAGACAAAGGGAGTTCTTGCATAGTTTTTCTCTCACCTCCTTCTCTTTGTTCAGCAGCACAAGTTGGCTGTCGGTCAGAATGGAGTACTTGGTCTCCCATATTATAGTTTCCGAATCAGGGGACTGGCCACAAGACAGCCTGTGGGTTGGTGGTCCTTTCACGTCTGTGGGGGGAAAAGGAGCAATATTAAAACATTTTAATCATTTTGCTCTTTGTGGTAGAAATGACTCAGCTGAGTCTTATGTTAAAAGAGTTTAGTTATCAGATTAACAGCAATCTTATGCATGCTTAATCACAAATACATTCCACTAAGTCCAACGGAGTTTAGGATTGCACCCCACATCCCAAAAAAATGATGCTATGGAGCAATTTCACTGCCGCATTAAAAAAAAAAACAAAGTTAGCAGTTTGAAAACTATTCCCAATGGACAGAATGCTAAACCATTCAGTTCCGCTTCCACAGAATCCCAAACTTCTTGTTTTGTATGAATCAGAGATCTGTCCTGCTCTGTGGCAAGATTTTGGGCAGGTTCAGGCTGAATGCAAACAGACAGCAAAGCTTCAACAGACAAATAAACAGTTACAGATAATAGACTGGAAAGAGACTGGAAAGATAAAAAAAAGACTGAAAAATAGACTGGAAAGAGAAGCTGCTGAATTGCAACTTATTACCAAACTTAAAACCATGGAGAGACCTGGTCTGAACAAAGACATTGGATTCTTATCTCATTATACATGACAAAGCCATTTTTCACCTTCTCACCCCTTGCTTTTTCCTGTAAAACCTATTGCAGTCGTTAAGAGTCATCAACAGGCTCATCACAGCTATCTGCCAATCACCCATTCCGACCACCCTTCTCAGTAATACCCCTCCCCACCTTCTCACTATATAGAAGGATCTGGCAACTTCTGCTTCAGTGTATCTGAAGAAGTGTGCATGCACACGAAAGCTCATACCAAGAACTAACTTAGTTGGTCTTTAAGGTGCTACTGGAAGGAATTTTTTTTGTTTAGACAAATAAACAGAGAATGAGCCCTGTAATAGCAGCAGCTGCATCCCAACTGCTAGCCCTGCCTGCAGTGGAAAATGCCTTTTCAGTTAAATGGACCCAGCCCAATGCAAGTCTTTTATTTCAATGGAACAGCGTTGGTGGATGAGTGTGACAGAACTCTCGTCTCATTGGGGCTTTGGCAATGGAACCCTCTGCATGTGATTCCCCACCCCTACCCCAGGAGGAATCTGACTCCGGGGTCAAGACATATCATGACTTTATCACAAACTCTGGTGAGTTGAACAAGTACTTTTCCTTTCTTTTTACCCATGGTGTGAAGTTGCCTTGTTTTGAATCTAACCAGGATGTGCTTACAAACCAGAGATTGTGGTTTTCACAAGAGCAAACCAAGGTTCTGTGAAACACAGGAGAACTGCTCCTCCTGGCTACACACGAGGACAGAGGAAGCAGGGTAGTAGGCAAGCATTACGTTTCTCAATGGTCGATTCCAATCACAGTGGTACCTCTGGTTACAAACTGAATCCATTCCGGAGGTTTGTTCGTAAGTGGAAACCGTTCTTATCCTGAGGCACGCTTTCGCTAATGGCATCTCCCGCTGCGGGTGTGCCTTTGGCGCATGATTTCCGCTCACATCCTGGGGCAAAGTTCGCAACCAGGAGCAGCTACTTCTGGGTTAGCAGAGCTCGTAACCCGAAGCGTGCCTAACCAGAGGTACATAGTACTAAACTACCCATCAGCTTACCGAGAAGCTAAAAACCATAGCAATGGCAATACAGTATCCACAGCACTATCTAAACAAGCTGCATTCAAGAACAAAAAACAAAAATAATCCCGGAAAGCCTTCTGACAACTTATCAGCAGGTATTAAGCCTTTATAGCAGTTAATTCAACAGAGCAGGGTCAGGATGAGTATATACCTGTATACCTCCAGGAGCATCTCCACCCCCCTCATGAGAAGAGAAGACTCCCTGGAAAAGACCCTGATGTTGAGAAAGATGGAGGGCACAAGGAGAAGGGGACGACAGAGGACGAGATGGTTGGATAGTGTTCTCGAAGCTACAAACATGAGTCTGACCAAACTGTGGGAGGCAGTGGAAGACAGGAGCGCCTGGCGTGCTCTGGTCCAGGGGGTCACGAAGAGTCGGACACGACTAAACGACTAAACAACAACCTCCAGGAGCATCTCTACCCCCACCCCCCGTCGAGCCCAAACACTGAGGTTCAGCTCTGAGGGCCTTCTGGTGGTTCCCTCACTGAAAGAAGTGAGGTTACAGGGAACCAGGCAGAGAGCCTTCTCAGTAGTGGCACCCACCCTGTGAAATGCCCTTCCCAGCCTGTGTCAAACAGATAAACAGCTTTGTGATTTTTAAAAGACATCTGAAGGCAGCCCTGTTTATGGAAGTTTTTAGTGCTTGGTGTTGTATTGTGTTTTTACTATTTTTTGTTGGGAGCCGCCCAGAGTGGCTGGGGCAACCCAGTCAGATAGAAATAATAATGATGACGATAATTAATTTCCCCATAGACAGGAAACAGCTGCTCTTTTCTTAGTTGGAAATATAAAGGTGCGTGGTGGCCATGTGGCTACGTTTTCACCTACTTCTGTACACAAGTTACAATCTTGCTATGGGATCTCTATAACATCAACCAAGAATCACTGAAGGCACTGACTCTGTTGAGATGTAATGGGGAACCACATTATCTCCCCTACAAGAATGAGCCCAAGCAAGCTTCAGATTTGCATGCTTCTCCTCGCTCTTGTTCCTTTTTCTGTGAAGGCACTTAAACTCCTTCCCACTGCAATGCTTTTATTTTAAAACCACAGTTCTCACTGATGTCTGAACTCAGGAAACGGTGGTTTGCTTATGGTCTGAGAACAAGCCATGATCTAAAAAAAGGAGAAGGGAGAATATGAGCTCAAGGGCCCACCACTGCTTGTTCCAGCCATCGTCTACAATCACAAAATGGGGGTTATAAAACCTAAAAGGGAAAAATGGTAGGCTATTGAGACTGAAGGAACTATAAGACAGACACAGTGGTTGGCTGCCACTGAAAAACAAAACAGGAAAAAATGAATGTATCTTAGTTTTCAAAGCATCTTTACAAAGTATTCCGAAAGGTCAGAGCTCTGATTCGTTTCTACAGAAGTGTTTCGCAAAAAAGCAGAAGTGACATTTAAGCAAACCTTCACCACTAGGTGGTGGTGAATCCACACCCACAGCAACTCCGGTTTCTAGGAAGTACGTACAGGAAAAATACAGAAATAAACATTACCGGGTGACCCTGAAAACAATGTTAAGTAATTCAAAAGCATTGAGAGCCACGCTCCTCTTATTTTGGGCCTTCCACTTCCTGCTATATTGCCAGCTGGTAGTGTTTAAACCCCTTCCCTCTGCAATGCCTTTGTTTCCCAGTGCTTTAAGTCCCTGCACAAGCCTTCAAAGTTCTGGTCCTTACTTCTAAATTGACTTATCTATCCCATTACTCTTAATTGCACAACTTACTTTCATCCCCCCCCCCGGCCCTTTCTGAGCTTTTATCCCATGTCTCTATTTCCTTAAAAAAACCACCAAACCCTTTTAAAACATGGCCTTCCCTGACCCACTGCAGACTCAATGCTCGTCCCTCCACTGGCATGACACCAGCAGTGTTGGCACCACCAGTGCTTTCAGGGCGAGGTTCCTCCAATGGGATAAACTGCAGATTATGGAGCATGATGAAGGGCAAGAGTCCTATATAAATGAACCCAGCAGCTAGACAGGAGGAAAGAGACAGAGAACGAACTCCAGGGAAGGAGAACCAACAGGACCCAGGAAGTATAAAGCGGGAGCGGAGGAAGATTGCATTAGTGTATGAGGCCAGCATGCAAGTCCTGAGTGGGCCAACCCTACTTTTTGCAGAGGAAATAATTGGTACTAGCTCCCTTCACTTTAATGGGAGGAAGCTGGGGGCTTAACCCCTTAGCTCCCAACAGTCTGATTAGAAGAGGCAGGAGTGCTGATCTCAGAACCCCATTTGAGACAGATGGTCACCCCCGTAATAAACAGGAAGTGCCCTTAATTTCAGTGCAGAACCTGAGGTCAGACCTGGGGGACAGGCACACTCTTGTCAGGAGTGCGTGCAGGATCCCGGCCCTGGGACTGTAGGGCTTCGCAGGAATGGGGCTTTCCTAAGAGGCAAGGCGTGGCCACACAGGCGAGGCTGATTGGTAACTCACAGCACCTGGTGGCAAGAGCCGGGAAGGATATAAGGTCAGTATTTCCCTTTGCCTCCTTGCCACAGCTACACGCTTCCTGCCTTGGGCTTCTTGACTCCTTGCTTCCTGATCCTTGGACCCTTGGCTTCTTGACTCCTTGCTTCTTGATCCTTGGACCCTTGGCTCCTTGACTCCTGACCCTTGGACCCTTGGCTTTTGACTCCCGGCTCCCTGACCCTCAGACCCTTGGCTTCCGGACTCCTGGCTTCCGGACTCCCGTTCCTGCTCCCACCCCACTGTCTTGCCCCCGGTCCCAATGTTCTCAGCCGGGACTTTGGCTACCCGTAAACCAGACTGTGACACCCTTCTTACTTTAGGGGATACCTTTCAGCCTACCCACCTGGACCCAGTGCCCATCTCCCCTGTCTTCAACTTAAGCCCCAGACATCAAGTTCCTGAGTGAGAACCACTGGAACAGACCAGGGAAATCGAGAGAAGCAAATTAGAAACCTTAAAGGAAGAACTAAGCTGGCGCCGATTCCAAAGCCTTGGCAGGTATAGCTCCCTACTCTCCTGAAGTACTGACTCACTAGCTGCTGTATGTGAAGCAACATATGGTAAATCATTGCCAATCCATTTATTACAGAATATCTGGTGCTGTTATTTGATCAAGGGCCCTAAAAAGGGGTAGTGCATGGGACCTATGGACCAAGACAGGTTTGTGGTGTCCCTCCCCTGGACCACTCCACACATACCCTTCCCTTTTCCTTGCTAGCTGCCTTCGACATCTCTGATAGTCTTGAGTCTCTAAAGCAGACTGCAGAATAATCTTCTACATTGCTGGCACCACCCTGGGTAATGGTCCAATGCATTGCTAGTCATTTAGAAAGCCTAGAGAAATGCTGTTACTAGCACTATGCTGATTAATTTTTTTATTCCTGGGGATTGTTGTTGTTT